GGGGGTTTTCCCTCTTTCTGTTATTAACCGGGATGGGTGAAAATGATTAAAAACGTTAGCTCCCAAGGGCAAGGGAGGTGCCCGGTGCCGGCACAGCCAGTACACGGACCAGCGAACGGTGCCTGCCCTGGAGAGTTAAGGGCAGTTAAAGGCGGGGGTGGGCTCCTCTGCCGGCCGGGCCGTGCCCCCTCAGGGGAGCCGCGGCCGGCTCCGCCGCCAGCCCTGCGCTCCTCCTCGCCGGCACAAGCCGTTTGGGTTTATGGCCGTGGTTCCGGATGGAGCCTCTTGCCTGGTGGCTAGAAACCCGTTTCTAATTTCCATCTAAATCTATAGATGTTTGGGGTTTTGTTACAGGCATCCTTCTCTGGCGTTTACTTCCCCTTTTCATTATTTACATATCCAATTCCCACTCATTTGTTAAGTTACATAAGCATGATGCAAGCTGTGCTCTGGTCATTGGGATGTCCTTTCTGCAGGACTCTCTCAGTTTGAATGCTTTTCTCTTGAGAGAGCCTGCCGTATCGAGTGTTTCAGAGAGATGTCTCGGCGATGCCTCAAACAGGAACACGAATGTTTTCCCGTCATTACTGGAAATACCATGACTGGACTCACGCTTGTCTTTTTCACAGTCACACCACGCTGTCAGCTCCCTATCACCCTGTGGTTGCTGAGTAAAGCCAAGTCCTTCTCCTCTTACTTCTTACTAGGATACTACCAAAGAGCAAAAAATATTATTTCCTGGATGCCTGAACTTTCAATTTTATACTATGCTACAGGGTTGTCCCACAAAAATGGCTTTTAGTAAACCTATGCTACCTTTTATCCCTTTATTAATCAATTTTCATGGTTTTAGTTAAACTTTCCTTTGCAGGTTTTCCTGAGGACCTGCACAGACATCAAAAGCACAGGCCCAAAACGCTTCCACCATGGCTCACTTCTTTAATACTTGCTGTTCTCTGGTCCTGTGGTAATGCCTCCAAGTCAGTGAATTTACTTAAAATCTTTTCACCTGGGTTTACGGTTTGCTGTGCATTGGGATTCTGTGGTTGAGAGTGTCTGGTTCCTCCAGTTGGAGCACAGTAGAATTCCGTGAGTTTTGCTCACCAGCTGTATTAATTTATTATCTTGTACCCATTTATCCCTTCTACCCCTCCTCTTAGGCATCCTGTCTTTACCCCGTGGATTAGCATGTTCATCCTTAATGAAAATCGGGGAAGCATGCATTTAATCTTGTGCAAGTAGCTCGGTTACCTTTATTTTCCCATTCTTGTTTTACAGTCATAATTTTTCTTTCCTTTTTTTTTTTTTTTAATGTCTTGTGGCTCCAGTACCTTTGTGATGTTTGTTGTAGTTTCCTTTTGAAATTCTAACGCCAGCTGATTTTTGGCAGTATCTATTCACGGCTTCTAGGATGTACTTGACTTCCTGTTTGAGGTGCTTATCTTGCTATGGCAGAAGGCCTTCTTTACTAATTAACCCCTTTGTCTTCCTCTACCCATACTAGCCTTTCCATTTCTCTTTTGCCTGGGATGTCTTTTCTCTCTTCTCAAGTCACTCTGTATAGTTTACCTCTTAGTCACTACAGTTAGCCAATTTACAAATGAGGAGGTTGTCATGGAGGTCCCGATCTCTCCACAACCTCATCCCACTCACAGTGCGTCAAGCATAAAACATGGCCCTTGGTCATGCTAGACCAAAGCAGATGGTGTGAAGATGGGTATATTTCATCACACCTAGGGCTTCTACTCATCTACCAAACTCTGCTTTACAACTGAAGGAATGTTCTGCTGCTGTTCAAGGCACGCTAACGCCTTGTCACACACCATCCCGCTGGCAGTTCCCTTCTGCTGTGGTGATGTGATGGGAATGGTAGCCCAGTGCCTCATCATTTCTTTGGCAGTCCATTGGCAAAGCAAAAGAAAGAAAAAACACCAGAGAGAAAACATCTATGAATGCTAGAAACATAGAATAAGGAGATTTGCATGAAACAAGCCAGAAAAATACAAAATTTTGGTTCTTATTACAAAGATCAGCAGTTCTACCAAAAGAGGTTAAATATAATGACCTTTTGGTTGCAAAACTAGGTGTGCTTTGTTCCTTGCTGCTGCTTGGGGAATGAATGATGCTTGTGAGATGTGTCGTGTCAGAGGAGACTGGTAGCTAAGGAAGGGAAGGTGCAGGTGGGTGCTGAGTAGGCCTAATGCCGCATGAATGCAGAATAAAAGGAAACCACATCATGTAGTTCTGTTGTTCTGCATTATGCTGGTTCACTGAGCATCTTTATTAGAAGTCTCAAGGATGGATTAGGAAGTTTAGTTCTGCACCCCAGGAATCTGTATTTACAGTGGTTTTATGTGAATGGGACTAAACATCTCATCCAGAGTTTGGGTTCCAGACATCTGGCAGGACAGAAAATGAATATTTGACAGGAATGAAGATTAAGAAGAAATATTTTCTCCCTGTGAAAATTTTTAATTCTGAAGAGTTTAAATGTAAGATAAGAGGCTTCTAAAACAAGACTGGCTGGATAGATTAATGAACGTTTTAAAAATATGTAACTATTGTAGAGCAAGTGGTATTTTACTACTCTCACGGTGAGACCAAGGCTCCTAGAGAAGAATGTTGGTATTGTAACATTGTACTTACCCTGTGGCTCAGGCAAAATAAAACTGGACATGGTTCTCAGGGTATAAGTTCCAATAAAACCTTCATTTGCTTGTGTTTGTTTTGCTTGTTACCGAGAACAGAACCAAGACCAAATCTCTTGTGACTTACAACATAAGGCATCAGATTGTCCTTAGCTGTCTGGTGCCTATTCAGATACCAGAGTAGGCCAAAGCAGGCTAACTAGGATGTTTCAAAACCACCCTGGTCTCAACACATCCTCAATGATAAACAGATCAGAAGCCTTGTTTTGTTAAAAAAATAGCATCAGCTTTTAATATGCCAGTGTTAATTCACCTGGGTTACAAAACTGAGAAGAAGGCCGCAACTGCCAAATTTTTCTTTTTATGTATCCTTTGTGATCTTAGTAGCAGCAGTAGATGCTCAGGAGGAAGGCAGTCATCTGGCATGACTGACATTGATTTTCTGCCTCAGAGAGCTTCAATCAGAGAAGGCTCAGAACAACACAAACAGAACGGGGTGAGAAAATTAAGGGCATTTTTCTTGCACTTGGAAGATGGAGGCCAGGTCTGTTTTGATTTCTTTTAAGTGACTGACTTAGATTGTAGGGATGGGGCCAACTTTCCTCACTTGTATACATAAGGAGTTTTATTCTTACTATTCTTTTTCCACTGCTGCTTTTCATTGCTGTAGCGGGCAGTGGCATTGACAGAGTGACGGGAATGTTTGAAATGTGACAGGATCTCTCCAGGGAAGCTTGGCCCTTCCTCAGCCTGCTTGCTCTCTTTTCCATATTAGCTGTCACAGATTAAACATGAATAATAAAGCAATAGAAGTTGCTGAATGTGGAAACATTTATATTTTTATTCCAAGAGTTACAAGCGGAGCCCTTCCACTGGTCTTAGGTGGCATTTGATCAGGCTTCCACTGATAACAGAAGGAAACAATGCCACATTCTTATTAAACAATGTGTTTGTCTTTAATCTACGAGATATTGATTAAACCTCTATCTCGAAAATAATGTCCAGAGACAGTTATACAAGGTGAGTTCAACATGTGCGTCTCGCTATTTTCAATAGAACACTTACAAAGTTTTGGTAAATGTCTCTCTGTTTTGCTAATATGCAAGAGGTTTTACATGGTGATATTTAATTTCTACACTTGCCATTTGCTCAGGTCCAGGCTTATGACAGTCAAATCTGATGGTGCTGCTGGGGTGAATAATGACACCAAACCGTGACCTACACGTATTTGCTGTATGAGCTACAGCTCAGCTAGGAGGTTAGCAGTAACCCAAAGCCACCGTTGATGCTGACCGGCCCTGGAAAGGTCAGTGGAATTTCCCTGCTCTACCTGAGATTTGAGGTCTAATTTGCCCCTAAAAATTGTGTTATTCCCAGCACAATCAGTCCTGCTTTTGCTCTGACATCATCAAGGGCTTTGCTTTCATATGATGTCAGTGTGTGAGGGAAAGACCTGGTACTAGACATAGCTACATCACATTCCTGTCCTGTCTTTCCCTTTGATTTATTCTGAGGCCTGAACAACTTTAATGGCTTCTTTTCTCCTTTGTAAAATGGGAAGGGTCTTTGTCTACCAGTCTGATGGTGGTACTGTAGGGATTAGTTTATTATGAAACACTTTAGGTTCGTAAAGCAAAATGAAAATGATGGAGGTTCTTTAGCTAAACCAGAGAGACCTGGACTCCAAAATGGAGTAGTTTGGCACCAAAAGTGTGGTATGCTCTGCTAAATTGTCAGCATCAGGAAAGCTCCCAGAAATCTTGCAGTTTTAAAATACAGGATACAGGAAGTTGGTTCCATAAAAATCCATATTTTGTGTTCTTCAAATTTGGACAGTGTAGCCACATCAAACCATTTGAACTGATCTCCTAAGAAAACAAGAAGCTGAAAGAGGAGTTTCACCTCGGCTTCCGCTACCAGGTATCCCTGCACGTAACGGATTAGCCATGGTCCATACACCTCCGGGTCCCTCTCCTTGGCTGCTTCCATGCATGCGTGTTATGGTAAGGATGCTGGTATTACAAAGATCCAGTGCTTTTGCTGCTTCACACCCTCCTCTGCTTTGCACTGTCATTGTGGGGAGAGGCTAGCTGATGCAACTTTCATTTCTGGATATTTATATGCGTGTATTTCTACAACCTATTTTTAAATGTGCACCAGGGTAATATATATGGAGACCTGTGTAAATAATTGTCAATTTCTGAAGATCCCAGACTTCCACAATGCCCCTTTGTCAGATGTATGGTTTTGGTTGCAAACTGTTTTGTAGCTGACATGTTTCAATACGCAGAACTTCCAAGTTACACCAATTTTTCTTTTTCCCTTAAAAGGCTGGTTGTTTGCAAGTACAACAGCAATGGATAATGCATCTGGTATAAAGCTCGATAAAACTGTATTTCTTGCAATGAATTTCTTAATACAAAGCTAAAGAAAACTAGTTCATGGAATAGCTTCCTAAATCGTCACTCTAGGTAGCTGGACTAAGCAGAATGCGTGACTTTGCCTTGCTTCTCTAAGGAAATTAATTTACTCATGGAAGCATGAGTCACTGTGCAGGATTCTCCAAGCCAAACCCATTCCCTTGATGCAACTCTGAATACTTAACTCATTTACTTAGGAACTGCAGGAAATGGGACACTCAGATAAATCACACAGTCCAAGAGAGATGGAAGGGCACTCCCAGGGACAGGGGCCACTATTCAGTCTTCGCCTAACAAAGTCACAAAGGAATCTCAGCCAGTTCAGCACCTGCTCACTGTTGACTGTCACGAGGAGTGTAATCATTAATGCATCCTTGCTGCTGCCTTCTAAACTGGCAGCAGCAGAACTATTACTGTTATCTAACTTGTTCTTGAGTGCCTGACAAGTTGCAGTAAGTGGAGACTTTCTATAAATTACAGTAAGGAGCTGGAGGGATATGAGAAGAGGGCTGCAGACTGCTATGTCCCTGCACTCCATCTGGAGCAGAGACCCCCTTGCCCTTATTTTAATGTTCATATTTATTCTGCAGCTGTCAGTTTTGACTTCCCCAGGATACCTTCTCAGCACATCACATGCCAAGAAGCTGGTTAGCTCAGGGAAAAGAGCTGCAGAGTCCTGCCGAGACAAGTTTTTACTGATTCAGGCCATTTGGGACACAGTACATTTAACCACACAATATTGCCTCCCCTACAGAGGAGGATACTCTTCTCGCATTTCAGGCCTTACATATCTGGTTGACCCTCTGTGTATTCAAAATGATAGCAGGTTATGTATTCTCTCCCACCCAAAAATCACCATGGATAAACTTTCATTTCTGTGAATCAAAATTCCAAGTTACATTGCTGGAAAATCAGCACCCTGTGGCTGAGAGGTTACTGGGCCATACAACCACTGTAGAGAGCTGAGGGTACATCTCAACATCACAGACACACAGATTTGGTGGAGGAACTTCCTGCCCTGCCCGGTCTACAGAAACAGTGCACAAGGTGTGATTTCATCCCTTCATCTCTTTCACCCATTTAGCAGACGGGAGTGTCACAGTTGGGACTCTGCAAAGGAAGCTCTCACTTTAGCAGCATAAAGTTACAGGGTCAAGGAAGCCCTAGATATTTAAAATAGTTTGGTATGTGTTTTCATGAAGGATACGTCTCTTCAAAGCTTTCACTGATGTGTAACTTTTACAGTGCCTGATACTTTCTGGCGCTTGTGTATGGGTTAGCTTCTAGAGCTCTTTGTGGGTCCTGGTAAATATACCCCAGTTCTGTGCCTGGAGTGGAGTGGGAAGGCCAAGAGATGATCACATTCTGGTTTTGCAGTCTCCTTTTAGAGCCTGGATGCCACAACAGCCTCACAGTCTATCCCACATCTTGGTGTTCTCAGATAATACCCAGTAAACATGGAAAAACGTGTGTGCCTACAGATGACTATGTGATAAATGATTATCCCTTCCTTGGAGGAGGAAGATGAAGCTTAACTTGCAGTTCAACAAACAGCAATAGAATGGAAGGAGGCAACTCACTGCTTTCATTTCTGTGCCCACCCTTGGGCCACACCTGAGGCTCTTTAAAAGAGCTGCAGCTGGGCTGGCTCAGCCCTAAAATGGCAGGCCTGAGGGGTGACTTTGGCTTGTGTTACCGAGTTGAGCTCTTCTGCTGTGCTCAGATGGGAAAAGTAAGTTGACTGTTTCTGCGCGAGATACTTGGTTTAGATCTTTGTTTCTGTGGTGGTGGTTGTGGGTGAACGTAGAGCCTGGGAGGGGTTGGGGGGACCAGGCGACTGTACCGCCCTGAGAGGTTACCAGGCAGTTTTTAAATACTGTTTATATCATATGTATGGCCAGCAG